TGTGAGTTCGAGAGTTCGAGGCTAGCCTGGTCTACAGAGTGAGTTCCAGGACAGCCAGGGCTACACAGAGAAACCCTGTCTCGAAAAAACCAAAAAAAAACAAAAAACAAAAAAACCTTACAGATCTCTGTGAATCACTGGAAATAGTTGTGTGTATTCGTGGAATCAGAGGCTTTTTCAGAGGGAAGAGATGAAGGAACTACGTTTTCTAGGTTAGAGTATAGCCATTCCCCGAGTGGTTATGGAGAGGGTCTGTGTGTGTGTGTGTGTGTGTGTGTGTGTGTGTGTATTGTATGTGTGTGTTATGGGTAGACATAATGTTACTGTGCCCTGCCTGAAGATTATCCTAGAATTATTCAAATGCTGGTTTCTCTGCCCCCATATCTGGTTGAAATCCTTATTCTAAGAATCTCAATGTTGTGTAAACATTGCTCTCCAATTATTCTCTGATTGGTCAATAAAGCTAGCTGATCAGCCATTGGCTGAGCAGGGGAGAGAATAGGGCTGGACTTCCTCCCAGCCAGGGTAGAGAGAGAGGAAGTAGGGACTTGCTGTTGGGGAGAGTCATTTGCTGTAGGGAGGACGTACCTTGCCCTGGAGCAGAGAGAGCCTTTGGTTGGGAAGTAACCAGATTCGTTTAGAGGATTAAAACAGAGTAATACTGCTTGATTGTTGTACCCTTATATAAATGTAATATTAATAAGTAATAAGCTGTTATATAAATGTAATATTCCAGCCTCAATTATTATTTAGGAGACAGTGGGGTTAAGAGAAAAACTATGTGCTTTCATTTAAAATGCTCTGTGTGTGTGTGTGTGTGTGTGTGTGTGTTACCTGGGGGACATAGTTGTTGTACTGAGAGAATGGATATGGTACATGAGCAGTTTCAGGCAACATCCTTTTATTAAAAGTATAAGGGTCAAAATCTTTGAACAAGTAGGGAAATTTGAAGGTAAAGAAATTACTATTTTTTTTTAGATTAATAATCCTAAATAGTTTGCCCTTGTATCCGTCACTTCTGTAAGTTTTTCTTGTTGTGGAAGGATGGCCTGCAAACTAGATTCCATCTACACAGTGGTTCTCTAGTCAGTGAACTTGGTAAACTGTCACCAGTTGAAAGCCCCTGTTTTCCCTTAACACACAGCTTTCCTTTGTATTTTAGCTGAGGCAGAGGAGCTACTTTATGCCTATAATTTTGCTACTGTTATGTGTTTTAGTATAAATCTCTGTGTTTTCCTGTGGTCTTAGAGGACCCTGTGAAAGAAGAGTTGTTCGACCCCTAAAGGGGACTTTACCCAAAAGTTGAGAACCACTGGGCTAGTGAGATGGTTAATTGGTTACTGCTCTTGCAGAGGACTGGCGTTTGGTTCCCAGCACCCACACTTGGTGGCTCACAACTGTCCCTGACTCAAGCCACAAGGGCATCTGATACCTCTGCCCTTTGTGGGCACCTGCACTCACATACCACACTCCATCCACCACGCAAATGCACACACTTAAAAAAGACAAATCTTGCTAGGTGGTGGTGGCGTACACCTTTAATCCCAGCACTTGGGAGGCAGAGGCAGGCAGATTTCTGAGTTCGAGGCCAGCCTGGTCTACAGAGTGAGTTCCAGGACAGCCCGTCTATACAGAGAAACCCTGTCTCGAAAAACCAAAAATAAATAAATCTTAAAAAAAAATTTAATCTTTTTTTTGTCAAAACATTTCTGTATCTGTTTATTTCTACCATAATTTATTTAATCATACCTCTGTTGTAGATTTGGGACTATTTCTACTGTTTTGTTATGTCGTGATAAATTAGTATTTTTCCTGTTTTCCATGTGACACAGTCCTAGAATTACTTTATCCAAAGGGAGTAGTTTGGGGGCTGGACAGATTGGCACAGTGGTTTAGAGCAGGTACTGTTCCTGCAGAGGACCCAAGTTCAGTTCCCAGCACCATGTCCGGCAGCTCGAAATGTCTGTACCTCCTGCTCCTGGAGGATCCAGTGCCTTTGGCCCTGAAGAGCACCATCACACACATGCACACACCCACACACAAGTACACAGAAGTTTTTTAAAAACGGGAGTAGTTTGGGTAGTAGGTAATTATAATTTAATTTTCAGAAACGTACTTTCTCATCTTAGATTCCTAATAGTGTAAGAATGGCTGGGTTTTTTTGTTTTTGTTTTACTTTATAAATAAGTGAATCTTGAAATGAGTAAAAATTTTTTTAAAGAATTTTATTTATTTTATGTATATAAGTATACTGTAGCTGCCTTCAGACACACCAGAAGAGGGCATCAGATCCCATTACAGATGGTTGTGAGCCACCATGTGGTTGCTGGGATTTGAACTCAGGACCTCTAGAAGAGCAGTCAGTGCTCTTAACCGCTGAGCCATCTCTCCAGCCCCGAAATGAATATAATTTGTTATATAAACATTTTGCTTCTGTTTTGGGCCTTGCATCCTGCTGAGCCACTCGTCTCTCTTCCCCAGAAGTCTTTCTTCCTTGAAGTCCTGTGATAAGACTTCTAGGGCACTTCAAGAAACGTCTCAAAACCTGACTTTGGTGCTGAATTCCTAGACTTCTCGTAAGATTCTAGTAAGATTCTAGCATCAGATCCTATTATAGACGACTGAACTCAGGACCTCTGGGAGAACAGAGCAGCTGACACTCAACAGCCAGGCCGCCTCTCCAGCCCTGTTTTGCATGTTGCCTGTAGATTCAGCTTATAGTATCTTCAACTGTTTATGTGCTGAGTTGATGGCATTAAATAACCCAATCACTAAATTGCCTCTGGTTATCAGAACTCCTTTGTTTTGTGGTTGGACATCAGAGGACATCTTAGAACTGTGTTCCCTCCCTCTACTCTTTGGGTCCTAAAAATCCAACTCAGTTGGACCATCATGAGGCTTAGCAGCCAGTGCCTTCCCCTTGAGTCATCCCACCAGCCCTACCTAATAGCTTGTTAAAGAACAAAGTTCCAGTCGACTGTCCTGGCAGATGGTAACACCAGCTTGTCAGCTTTCTCATGGTTCATTCACAGAAGAGAAGCTCACTGTGTGGCAATGACCTCTAATGAAAGTTAGTGCTTTGGCAGAAAGACTGTAAAGCGGAGTAACATTTTCCTTTGCAGGTTACATGTCTTGCTTGTGAGAACAAATCAAATACTATAGAACCATTCTGGGACTTGTCACTGGAATTTCCAGAGAGATACCAATGCAGTGGAAAAGATGTTACCTCCCAGCCTTGTCTGGTTACTGATATGTTGGGTAAATTTACAGAAACAGAAGCTTTAGAAGGGAAAGTCTACGTGTGTGACCATTGTAACTGTGAGTATGGCCCGTCTCTCTGTGCTTTTGTAACGTTAATATCAGGTGGGGACCAGGGACCCTGGAAGAAAGCACTTCCGTCATAGCTATGAAAATGATTTTTTTTTTTAGTTCTGCAAAAGAAATCAGACATTTCTACTTGATAATGATCATTATTGATGATAATAAGTTTCTTCTTGTAGTGCCAGAGAGGTGGCTTAATGGTTAAGGGCACTGGCAGTTCTGGTAGAGAGCCAGGGTTCCATTCCCAGCACCCATGTGGCAGCTCAAATCTGTCTTTAACTGTAGTCTCACGGAGTCTGATGACTTCTCGCCACCTCAGGCGCACACATGTGGTGTGCAGACATACAGGAAGGCAAAACATTTACCCATACACATAGAATAAAATAACAGTTATATCTATCTATCTATCTATCTATCTATCTATCTATCTATCTATCTATCTATCTTATTTTGGTTTTCCCAGACAGGGTTTCTCTTTGTAGCCCTGGCTGTCCTGGAACTCACTCTGTAGAGCAGGCTGGCCTCAAACTCAGAGATGTGCCTGCCTCTGCCTCCCAAGTGCTGGGATTAAAGGTGGATGCCAGGCTCAACAATAATTTATTTAAAAAAATGTCCATGTCTCAAAAAAAAAAATGATACAAGAACTTGAGATATTTAAAAAGAAAAGAAAAACAGTGCTATGGCATTAAACCTCGTGTTTCCTGCATGCTAGGCAGCTGAAGAGATATATTGATTATTTTCTAGAACCCCTTAAAGTCACATTTTGTTCTGAGTGCTGCCTTAATTTCACATTATTAGGTTATGACATAGCCTAAGATCTACCTATAGGACTTGGGAGAGCAATGGGCCTTTGTCAGATTTGTTAGGATGAATTTAAAATGTCCCAAATAGCTTCATCACCAAAATTTTGGGGTAGATAATATTATACACGTAGTATATAGTCTTATAGTAACTTGAATATGTAAATGAGGCCGACAGATCCAGGCTTAGAAGAACCACTTTAATACAGTAAGGTGAAGGTTGCAAGTAGAATCCGGCGGCCTGGCCGGCACCCTGTGTAGCCATACACAGAGTCCAAAAGCAGGAACAGGGTATTTAGCAGCATCCGGGTCCCTGGAGGAATAGCTTCTAGTAGCCAGTGAAAGCCACCCCAAGCTGACACGAGTGGCAGCTGCTAACCAGCACGCTCTGGGAGTCGATGGTCCAGCAGAGACTCCAGGGCACAGTCCCTAGGTGGACATAGGGGAGAACCCCGAGTCCTTGTTAAAAGAGCATGACCCTGGTGTGGCGAGGAGAGACCTGGGAAGCATTACCAGTAAAGCTAAGGACACAGGAGTGCTATGTGCAGTACACAGCCATGTGCCTGGGACTGGCTTAGTGAAGGCTAAATGAATTGACCATACGTTTTTAAGAGTCCAGAAAGTGTGTTATTAAAGAATGTATGGAGGGAAATGTTCACTTTCTCCTGCTAGTTGGCCTAGTCAAATCTACTTTTAAATCTATAGCGGCGTTCTATTTTATTCTTGCGTGTTTTGCCTGTATGTATAAAAGCATACCACATGTGTTGTGCCTACAGAGGCCAGAAGAGGGTGTAGCACTCCCTGGACCTGTAGTCACAGACAGTTGTGAGCGTCCACGTGGGTCCTAGGAACTGAATCTGGATTCTCTGCCAGGAAGCACTTGCTCTTAGCTGCTGGATCCAGCCCCTTGCAGGATTATTATTAAGTCCCATACTTCCTTTCATGTCTACCCTGATTACGCATCCGTTTCTCGTTTTGTAAAATGCACAACATTTCCTGAGATCACCTCTAGCATGGTGCTATCTATGCCTGGTGCCAGTGTGGGCGAGTTACATGAAAGAGTTCACTCATGGTTTTCCTTGTAATTTTTGAAACTGTTTTTATTTTACTTGTATTTTAGCAAAGCGTAGAAAGTTTTCGTCAAAACCAGTTGTACTCACAGAAGCCCAGAAACAGCTTATGATATGCCACCTACCTCAGGTCCTCAGACTGCACCTCAAACGGTTCAGGTCAGTAGTGTTAGTTCCAGTTGTCTACCACTTACGGGAATAATTGGGTCATTCCTTCTGCTTACGATGCTTCAGGACTTTAATTACATTTGAACAGTGACTACTTGGCTAATGGATGACATTCTTTTTAAAAAGCATAGTTATTATCTTTAGCTTTGAACAGCAGACATCTATATTCAGAAACTGAGTTGTTTAAATAACTGTTTTTCTGAGCCAGGGCCAGGCTAGCCTAGAATTTGCTGTGTAAGGTACCCCAGCCTGGGATCAAACTGAGAATCCTCCTGCCTCACCTTTCTGAGTGCCAGCATATCACATATCCCAGCAATGACTGTGACCTGCTCCATGTGACTTTAATTATACTTATCATTTAATATTCAGGTGTACTTTTTGAAAGATATAATTTTGTAATGTGTGTATTTTACCCAGTTGCTTTGTGGTTAGAATATACTGATCAAAGATATACCAGTTTGGGGGCTAGCGAGTGTTAAAGTACTTGCCACCAAGTTCAATCCACTGGATTCTGCCCATGGCTTAGAGAACCAAGTCCCACAAGTTGTCCTCTGACCTTCAGTGACACTGCAGCATGATCATCTCCCAGAATGAGACACACAAAATAAAATGTGACTTAAAACCATAAGAAAGCCAACAGTTGTAGCACACACCTTTAATCCCCGCACTCAGGAGGCAGACACAGGTGTCTCCTTTACACAGTGAGTTCCAAAACAACCAGGGCTACACAGAGAGACCGAGCCTCACAAACAAACATCCTAAGAGTTCAGTTCGAAGCATTTAAAAAAAATTGTCTATTTGTATACCTGCATGTGTATTCACACATAAGAATGCCACAAAGCACATACAGCAGTCAGAGGACAGCTTCTTAAGAGTTGGTTCTCTCCTTCTGCCATGTGTGTCATGAGGACTGACATCTGTCTGTCAGGATTGGTGGAGGCCACCCTTACCACTTAAGCCATCTTGCTTTGCCAATTCCTCAAGCAGTTTTCTTACTTATTTCTTGAAACAGGGTCTCTGTACTTCTGGCTGTCCTGAACTCTCACGTAGACCAGGCTGAGTTCCTCCTGCCTCTACCTGAGATTACAGGTACAGACCACTGTGCCAATAAGAATAACTTTCTTAGTTCAAGTACGGCATTACAGAAGTAAAAACATCCCTTCCTGATATGCACTGTTAGACTTGGCCCACCCCGTTGACTGACTTAAACTTGTAGCTGTTAAAGATGCTGTCAGCAGATATATGAATGCTTTGTACGAGATACTAGGTTTTTTCCTCAAGATTACAGCTATGCACACACAGAAGTAATTAGGTAAAGAGCTATATGCAAGTGCCGTCGGATTTGAGGAAGGGTGTTAACAAAAATATTTAACGTTCCCAGAGCCTGTCTTAGGTTAGTTGGGGTCCTGGGCCTTTCAGGTCTTAGATAACGTGGCCATGCCTTTATGAATCCTATCTAAAGCATAGATCTAACAATATAGCACAAGACCCAACACACAGCAAAACCAGTCTGCAACAAAGTAGCTTAATTTGCTTACCTCTCTCTTACCAAGCAGAACAGAAACTCAGCAATAACCAGTGCCCTAAGGAAAAGTTCTTCCTTACAAAGGGTGTGCTGCTAAGAGGCTACTCCACTCTTCTCCGTATTCTCCTCCCTCCAATACATTCCTTCAGGGGAGGTCAGCAGGCCATTAATGGGACAGTGAAAAGGCTCCTGGAAAGCACCACCAAATTCTGGTACAGCTGAAAAGCTTCTGGTAAAGATGGATGGAAGACGTTAGCTGTCATCTTCAAGGTCCTCCATATCCTTAGACTGCAGCTCTCTAGTCCTAGCTGGCTCTGAGAGGCTTCCCTTCCACGGCTGACCTTTGTTTCTGAGCAAGGCAGATCCACTGCAGTTTCTGTGCTTCTCCTCAGGCAGAATAATGTCAGCATGCACGTGTGTCTGGACACCCACTTCTTGGGGTGGTCCTTGCATCAGCCCTTCATCTGTCAGGGTGCCTTCCATCTGCAGCTTCGGTTGTCTGTCCCACCCCTCTGGTGCTTGAATAGCTGCTGCCTCAGCTTTCTCTGGGACAACTGATCTGGAACAGCAGACACCCCTGGCTGCTCTTGGCAGCTCACTCCTGATTTCCGTTTCTAAGTGCCACACCTCAAGGCCAAGTATTGTGCTTCATACAATTCCCCCTTTTAATCCTCTGATCTCAAGGCCTAGAATGCAATTCATAGAGCATGCCCAGAAGTGTCAGGTAAATAAAGGGAAGTATCTTTCGGGAGGATCACTGAAGCCAAAGAGCAACATGAACGAAGGTATGGAGGGAAGAACAGGACTTTTATAAATAAATAAATGAATGAGTGAGTGAATGAATAAATGAATGAGGAATGAAGACAGGGCTGAACAATTAATAGTATAAGGACAGTGGAGATTGAGACTATATATACCAGGGGCTGGAGAGATGGCTTGGCAGTTAAGAGCAGTTAAGCACTGGCTGTTCTTCCAGAGGACGCAGGTTCAATTCCCAGCAGCTACACAGCAGCTCACAACTGTCTTTAATTCCAGTCCCAGGGATCCAACACCCTCACACAGACATCCACATGCAGGCAAAACACTAATGCACATGGAATACAAATAAATAGAATGTATATCACTTTTTTTCTTTTTAAGACAAGGTCTCATGTCTAGACCAGGCTAGCCTCAAACTTAAGAGATTACCACTGCCTTTGCCTCAGCTCTGGGATTAAAGGCATGTGCCACTATACCTTCTGTATTAGAAAGCAGTGGGAAAGTCCTAAAAAGGACACTGTAAAATATAAAATGACACTGTAAAAATGCCAGTTATCATACTTTTTTAAAAAAAGGCAATGAAATAAGCCAATTTATAATTTTAAATTATTCTTTGTCCTAATTTTTTAAACTTTTTTTTTTTTTTTGGCGGTGGGTGGAGAGCATATGCTTCAGTGGGCATCTCAAAGTCCAAGGACAATTTGCGAGAGGTTGTTCTTTGTGGGGACAGAACTTAAGCCATCAGATTTGGCAGTAGGCTCTTCCACCTATACCGAGCCATCTTGCCAGCTCTTAAAATCATTTTCTACACAGGCAGTGCAAACAGAAAGGGACTTAGGACGCACTGGAATAAACTACCCAGTAGTCATGTCTATGGAGAAAAACATCATAACCATATGAAAAAAGGCATCAAAAAGAAAGTACCCAGCCGAGCAGTGGTGGCGCACGCCTTTAATCCCAGCACTTGGGAGGCAGAGGCAGGCAGATTTCTGAGTTCAAGGCCAGCCTGGTCTACAGAGTGAGTTCCAGGACAGCCAGGACTACACAGAGAAACCCTGTCTCAAAAAACCAAAAAAAAAAAAAGTACCCAGTACAAAGAATTTAGTTATCAGCTGGGTTCCCTTTCCTTAGGTCCCCTGCGCTTGCCGGTGGATCTTACATTTGAATTTATCCATTACCACAAAGGGCATCTGAAGATACTGATGAACAGTAGGGATAGAGAAGGCACTAGGGAGGAGAAAACAAAAACAAAACCGACAGCAACAACAGCAGCCACTGTATCCTAGGGTTACTTTTGCTGTGATGAAACACCAGGACCAAAAGCAACTTGGGAAGGAGAAGGCTTGCCCTTCCACATCACTGTTTGCACTGGAGAAAGTCAGGACCGGAACTCAAGCAGGGCAGAAACTGATGCAGGAGCTGATGCAGAGGCCAAGGAGTCCTGGTTACTGACCTGCTCCTCAAAGCTTGCTCAGCCTGCTTTCTTATAGATCCCAGGACCACCTATCCAGGGTGGTACCACCCACAGCAGGCTGCCACATCAATCAATAATTAAAAAAAAAATGCCTTCCAGGTAAGGTTCACTACCCTCAGGTGGCTATAGCTTGTATCAAATAGAAATAAACTAGTCATCGCATATACCTTTCCCTGACATGGCCACTCCTCTATGTTCTACTAAATACTAGGGGAATTGTGTGGAAGCTTCAATGCATAGACATTATGGTATCTCTGGTTCTCCCTTTTCTTGGACTGAACATCTGAACATCCTCAGCAGTCTCTGACTACTCAAGAGCATACAAAAGGCTCATCAGCACTTCCGAGATCCCAAGGACGGTATGAGAAAATGCACGACCGCCAGCTATCATCTGCCATCCATAGCAAGGCAGAATGTGAAACTCACAAGGCTAGCATTCATTCTCTAGGTTTTATCTCTGCATTACAGAAGACAGTTATTTCAAGCCTGATGGAAGCCTCCTGCGTAGTTGCACAAGGTTGTGATACCACACTACTTGGGGGGGTGGGGGTGGGGTGGAGGCAAGACATTGAGAAGTTCAAGGTTACCTGACTACATGGGACCCTGTCTGAAAAGACAACCACGTGGCAACAAAAATGATGGAAGGGCTTCAAATACAGCACAGTGGCGAAATGCTTGCCTACCAAGTCTAACCCTCCCAACACTACATGCATGCATTGTTAAACTGATAAAGCAGACGGTATTGGGCCTTGTTGCAAAAGAAAACACACATCCCTCCACAGCTAACTCAGCACTGAGAACACGCGTTATATACACATGCTGCTTTAGATTATGCACTCTGCGGAATCAACTACTAAAGCTGTCTAGACCTAATATATGGCAAGCTTTCTTCCCTTGATTCTGAAGTGTCACTTGCTTTTCTTCCTAGATGGTCAGGACGTAATAACCGAGAGAAGATTGGCGTTCACGTTGTCTTTGAGGAAACCCTAAACATGGAACCCTATTGCTGCAGGGAGACCCTGAACGCTCTCAGACCAGAGTGCTTTATCTATAATTTATCTGCTGTCGTAATCCATCACGGAAAAGGATTTGGCTCAGGACACTACACTGCCTACTGCTACAATTCTGAAGGAGGTAGAGCAAGAAAACCAATTTTATTTTATCTTGGGTTAGACTTGTAAGCTTCTGCTTAGGTTTTTAGCAATTTCTAAGTTGGCCACTAACTCACCCGATCATCCACCTACCTTCTTTCAGACAAAGGCCTTCTGCAGTCAGTGCTGCTGGATTTTTGGTGGGTTAGGGAGGTACAGAAAACATTTCACAGGTTTGGATACTTTTTTGAGACAGAATCTCAATTTATGTAACTGGCTATTCTGGAATTCAGTGTGGATACCAGGCTGGCCTTGAACTGAGATGTTCCTACCTCTGCCTCTCCTGAGGGCTGGGATTTAAGACATGTGCCATCAGGTCCAGCCAAAATACACATGTAATCTTTTCTTTGGTTTTGAGACCGAGTTTCTCTGTAGACCTAGCTGACTTGGTACTCAATGTATAGACCAGGCTGGCCTCAAACTCAAGAGATACCCCAGCCTCTGCCTCCCAAGTGTGCCACCAAGCCCAGCACTAACCATGGAGATAGCAGATACTTGTTCAGATTTAACAGAATCACCTTCATCTGTGTCCTCCATATCCCTTCTACAGCCACCTTTCTGCTTTCCTCAGCAAAAAGCCTTGCTGTTCTCATACAGAATCTGTTAAAACTACTAGGGACTATATTGTGCTTTATAGTAAGTAGCTGAAGCAATAATTACTATTTCCTCTGGGAATGGAGGGTATCAAGTACATGTGTCAGGTTCTGTAACTACTAAGAACAGATAGGTTGTTGCATAAAAGGAGTATGAAAGAATTCTAGAGTAACACTTTCCCACTGCAAAGAAAATGAGCTTTCCTGCCATTGCTTTCCTGCAGGAAACTCTCCCTTTTCAGTCAAAGAGGCTTTTGTAGTGGAAACTTTTGAAATTCTTTTACAACTACTGATCTTTGCTTCACTCTAGGGTTCTGGGTACACTGCAACGACTCCAAGCTAAGCATGTGCACTATGGAAGAAGTACGCAAGGCCCAAGCTTATATCTTATTTTATACTCAGCGAGTTACTGAGAACGGACATTCGAAACTCTTGCCTCCTGAGCTCCTGTCCAATAGCCAACAACACCCCAGTGAAGAAACCGATGCCTCTAATGAAGTCCTTAGCTGATCCAGACAGTGGGCTCTCGTTATTTGTATATATACTTTTTAAATGGGCTGACTTACGATGCTGGGCTTCATTGTTTTTATTCTGTAATTATGATCAGTGCCTGCTGTGTTTAGACATTGTGTATTTAACTACAAAGGTTTTTTTTTTTTTTTTTTTTTACAGAGACAAAACTATAAATGTATGTATATCAACTATAGGTCAACTAAACTTTTTTCAAATATTTGAGTTTTATACTTTTAGTGTTTACCTCAGACTATTATTACCTCTTATATTTTGATGTCTTAATTGCCTCAAATCATGAATTTGTGCAACCTACTAAAGAAATTCAGGTGGCATCATTTTCTATATATTGTCACTTATTTATCTTTTGTAGCTGTTTTCTATACAGATTCTAACTACATGGGAAGGAGATGCTCTTCACAGATTGACTAAGAAAAGAAAGCCATTGGTGTACTGACTCCAGTTCTGCCCCCTCGGAGGTAACTAGATTGGAAGTGAAATGCTGAAGTATCACCTAGGTCCAGTCATTCCTGAGGCTTCATGCTTCTACAGGGCTCAGAATAGACTTAATACAGATACTGGTCTTTCACTACAACATTTATTGCTTCCATAACTGTCCTTTATTGAGCACAAATTCAAAATGAAAATGGCAGATTTACAAATGGTATACTATAATGAACTTTGGAACTATGGGCAATGAAAAAAAATAGTTCTAATAAAGCAGTCACAAAATTTTGAATTTAGCAAACCAGTATATTATGATTATAATACAAATGTAGTTTATCTTGAGAAGTGAGTTTTATGTTTAATTATTTTAGATCTCTTAAGTACTTGAGATCTCTGTTAGTTACATGGAATATGTATGGGAGAATGTATAAGGCGGAGAAGACAGCGGTTCAAGCATGGCACCTGGGGTGTTACATCTAAGATCTCATTTTTCTTGAAGTAAACTAAGCCTGACTCTTGCTAGGATTAAGTGACCACTGGGAATCTCTTAGGACCCTGGCCCCTCTTTAAAAAACAGTAAAGTGATCTAAACTTACATTTACTGAAAGCAAGAGAGATTTCTGCTTTGTTCTAAAGAAAGCTTTCTAGGTCTTACGGAGCTCTGCTGCCTGCCACCATGGCCACCGCCACCCAACCAGCTCAGAAAGGGGGCTCCACCAACCTACAGATCCCAAGGTACCTGTTAGCCACTGGGAGAGGGTTTTTTCCGTTCTTGCTAAATAAAGTGACTTTATTTACAGCTTCTGTGCCAGGAAGAGTTAGTTGTCTTTAGCACAGACTTCTGAAAGGAGTGTCACCTGGAGCAGGCAGCTTATCACAAACTCCAACAAAAACGCCATCAACCTACAGAAGAATCATTTGTGCCAAAAATATAGCTGGAGTATATTAGGTCTGAAAGTGCTCACTTACCCAACACGTATGCAAACTGTTGCATCAACTGTTAAATATACCTCATTAAAGATTTGTGATAAAGGTACCGAGTCTAGCCTTTAATTTCAAGGACTGTGTTTTGAGTCAACACATTGTAGCACCTTATTTTTACTGGTATTTAAAGGGAAGAAACAAAACATGAAACTAGCACACAGCAACCTGTTGTACTTCCCACTATATTCTTTTGTGAATCTAAAATTGCATTTAAAAAAAATACGCAAATGATGTAAAGAAACTTCAGTTTCTTATTAAATAACACAGATCTACCATGGATGTCTGCACTTTTAACTTGTTCTAACAAAAACTCAACAGTTTAGGTTGTAAAATAATTTACTAAAGGCACTATTGTTAAAGTTCACAGGCCGACTTTGTTCCAGTAAGAGGTATATCACTAAATGTACAGTGATTTTAAGGGATACATAGCTAGTAGGCAAACACATGTTGTTTTTGGCTTTGTGTTGGTTTTGCTTTCCTTTATAAGGCCATACTCCTTCAGGACACAGTGATGTCTTTCTCTGCTCCCAACAGTGCTCTGAGAGGCGTCTGGACCTTACAAAGAGGAGACTGCTGAAAAGCTCTTAGAAAACCCTAAAGCTCTTTGTTTAGGGGTCAGTTTATAAGATCCTGGGCTTAGATATCAAGCCACTCCAAAGACAGGGACATGAATCCAGAGCCCCAGGAGCCAGCTGGAGAGGATGTGTGTATTCGAGGGTAGCAATGTGACATAAGGTCACAGCTCACAGCACCAAAAGTAACCTTCACTTACACTATTCAAGCTGCCCACGATCCAGGTCCGGAAGTCTACCTTCTCTTCAGAGACAGTGTCGAGAAAAATAAAGATGATATGGCAACCCAGATATAATACAGTACCATTGTGCTAAGGCATACACAAATTAAGGCTTTACCTGGGTAACAATTTTGAAACTACGGTGGAACATTTCTAGCAAACCACAAAGGTTTTATGCAACTAAATTATTATTGGGCCCAGTCTAAACAGGTTAAATGTGTCTTTACATTCAAATTAACACACACGATTTATATATAAAAGATAAAGCAAACCTCATTTCCTCAAGTCATCTGATGCTGGGATCTCTAACTTGTTGGAGGCCGTAAATGTTGAGCTCACGAAGGAAAAGCCCAATCCCAAGATAACTTTTCTAATTAGGACAAGATTCAAACTTCTTTTGCTTGTGGCTTTAATGTTGATTTGGTTTTCTAATGTGGAATACATATCCTATAAATATGAACACTGGGTTAAGTGACATTTACTACATCAAGGTTTTTCCAATTGGCACAATGTTTTCCCATGATGCTTAAATCAGTACATGGGGTTGGGGGAGACACAAAATATGCTTCTACAAAAAAAAAAAAAAAAAATCCTCAACTGTAGTCATTTCTGCCTGCTTCTTACACATGAAGACCTCGCAGCCACCATGCCTGAAGAGAATCTGTAGACTCTGTCACATCTACAGTCCATCGGAACACTATCCATACTTCAGCCTCTTTCTGCTTAGAATTACAACCATAGACATTAAAACGTAGCTCTCAGATCTGAAAATGTCTTTTATTTTTTAGAAAATGGATTCCAGGAAGGTTAAAAAGCAATACCAGAGGGCATAGGTGCAGAACTGGATGTACGTAGTCATTCAGAGCATCCAAGTAAGAATATGGCAATATAAATATCCAAAAAGCATCTCTTGGGTCTTCAAAACAAATCGTGTAAGTAATTCCTAACTAGTGAGCAGTACAGCATTTCCTAGACGGGAGAAACAGTTAACATTAAAGTCTTGAAAGCCTTCCCTTGGTTAACTACATGTAGACAGTTTGCCTTTGATCAAACTCCTTTAAACATGGATAACGGTATTACACAGGTCCACTGTTAAAACAGACAACATGTTGCAAATTACGTGTGGTATAATGTGTTCCAACAAAGCTTAGAAAATAAAGACGTTGAGTTGCTCTGGACTAAGTTTAATAGTCATCTCCTCGGCTGACAACTTCTTTACAGGTCGGACGCAGCAGTATGGTGTGTTCAAACTGTGCTGTGTATGATCCTTTAATGTCACACAGTGGTGGGTATGGATCTACAATGCCCAAGTCACACAGATTCTTCAGAGCCATTAAGTATTTACTTTCTCCCAAGCGATCCAGCCACCTTCGGCAGAAGGCAAGGGTACCGAAGTTTTCATTGATGACATTTAACAAGTGTTTTGTTCTTGGAAGCCTAAGAAGAGAAAAGTGAAGACAGTTGGCAAGAGTTAACTAACCAATTTACTCATTATAAAAGTCAAATCTAAGCTGTGTCTGCTCCTGGAGTCTGAGTTTAAAAACATTCTTTCACTAATAGTAAGAGAAATGTAATGGCCCAAAGACATGGCTGACTATGAAACATGCTAAAGATGACCTCCTGTGTGCTAAGTTCCTAGATTGAGTATCATGGAAGTTTCTTTTCATACAAGTTCGCAGGTGACAACCTGTGAAAGTATGAATCCTACCTATAATCAACCTTTGTAGTGAGTGAAAAACACAATGTCAACTGGGACTGGCCATTTATTTACCAACAGGGAAAGCATTATAATCCAAAACCTAGGAATGCTGGGAAATGATTACGTCATCAGAAACTGGACTTGAATACTCAACTCTCCATCGGTTTCAAGGCAGGGAAGGTTAATGGTCATTTTTCTGCTGTACTACAGAAACCAAATAACTCACTGAGAAGACTGCAGACCCTGGCACTTACAAATACACCACCTGACATGTTTGCCATACTCTTGACTTGGAAGAGATGCTCAAGAGTTATCAAGTCTCTCACCTTATTGGCACATGTCCCACATCAAAATTTTTCATGTAGTGTGAACATTCCATGTCGTCATGAACCACGCCCTTCCCGGTGCTACCAAAGGTCTCAATGGCGTACACCTCTCCTTCCTTCAAAAACACAAGGGTCAAAGAGCAAAAAACAATTCAGAACTAAACTTCCTGTGATAAGCAGTAACATGAAACACACTTCCCAGTCCCTCAGCCTGCCGGCCTGTCTCCTCAGCACCTCTGACCACTGGATAGCCCTTATCAAAATGCAGGTTTTACATAGCTGTACCCCAATGCTCCCTAAAGGCGACAGCACTGAGGACATTCCTAATATTTATACTAGGTAAATAGTACATTGACAGCCTCAGTTTTCATGAGTATAGCAAAATATGAATATGAATTGTAAGCTTCTTCTGTTCAGTATTGATTTAGATGGGAGTTAGTTTAGAACAAAGTGTCACGGCTTTTCACAGACGTCTAAGAGATGGGCTGGGACTGAGGGCAGTGTTAGTGCGCCCACCGTTGTAGCAAGCCAAATGCCCTTGTTAGCAAGGGCTACTCACATACCTCCATTCTTGTAGCTTCCCCTCCTTTCACGATGGGCACTGTTTTTCCAGCGTGAATTCTATATGGCCCAATTGAATGTCCATTTAAGTTACGTATGGGTTTCACTGTCATAATAAAGAATTATTGTTCAGAATCTCTCAAGGTACAGACTTTAACTGTTTATACCAAAAGAAGACACTAAGAGTAGTGGCACACACTTTTAAATCCCAGTACTTGGGAGGCAGGTGAATCTCTGTGAGTTCAAAGCCAGCCTAGTGTACACCTAGTGAGTTCTAGGCTAGTCAGGGCTACACAGTTAAGTCCCTATTCTGGAAGGAAGGGTCGGGGGAGGAAAAGAAAGGGGAGAGAGGGTGGAGAGAGGGAAAGAGAAAAGGAAGATAAGGCTCTCACAGAGATAAAATGAAAAGCAGTTTGTTTTATTAAGTGTGAAAGAGAGCTGGAGGAGTCAACTGTTAGAGAACATGCTGCTGCTTCAGTTACCCAGCACCCACAGCGGGGGGGCCTCACACCAGCCCCAGAGGATGCGCCGCCTGCTGGCCTCCATGTGCACCTGTGCTTATCTGCACAAACATGCAGCCACACATGCACATCATTTCAAAATTACCAAAGAGAATGTTAAGGGAGGAATGGAAGGAAAAATAAAAGTGATGAATACTATATAGATATAACCTCAAGGACAAAAAAATATGGTTACAAAATTAAAGATAATGTGAAGGTTGAGGGCACTGTCAAATGATCTTAAATTTAGATTTTACTATTTCAAATGCTACAAAAACAAAATCTAATTTTCTGCAACCAACGAATAAAGTGACACAATAGAATATTACTCAAAAATTCAAACAGAAAACAAATAATTTAAGTAGAATAAGCACTATTGAGTGATTAAGACTTAGAGACATACATACTACAGGCTTCCATATGTACATAGGTACAAATTCCAGAGGCCATGAGTTCAATTCCCAGCAACCACATGGTGGCTCACAACCATCTGTAATGGATCTCCCTTTTCTGGTGTGTCTGAAGATAGCAACAGTGTACTCACATACATTAAATAAATAAATAAATGAATAAATAAATAAATAAATAAATAAATGTATTAAAAAAAAGAAAAACAACAAAAAAAATTACACAATTAGTAAAGACAAAGAGAAGCAAATGCCAACACTTCAGCACTCGTGATTCTGGCTTATAGAGATCACTGCTGCAACTGGAAGTGGGCAGAGGGTGCTAGTGTTGCATGCCCTCTCAGCTGCTGTTTGGAAGGTGGCCCCAGTGCAGTGGAGTTGGGAGGTACAACAGTGGCTCCCACTGTTTGCCAGGAGCCATTATGGAGCACAAAACACAGCAGTGGCACCAGGGCTGGACAGCTAAGACAGCTCTCAAGGGACGAAGTTAACTAACTTCAGCTGAAGTTTTCAATTTACCCCTCAGTCTCCCCCAACTTCATGATGTTTAGAACATCGTTAGAAAGGAGGACTGTGGCCAGCAGATGCAGACAGACCTGGGGTTGCGGACTACACTGACAGCAGTGAATGCCAAGCACCAGAAAGCACAAGCGATCCTAGGAAAAACATAAAGCGGCAGCTGAAAGAGACTAAAGGGCAGACTAGGTATTAACTGGCCTCCAAATTCTGAACTTGATTCAAAAGAAACAAGTAGGAGAATCACCAA